CCATGCTTTATTTCCCACCTACATTAAACTGTCCCCGTCCCGGCTCAGATTTGATGCACATTACTCGGAGTGACAGAGTGACGATGGGCCTGGACGGGAAGCTGTACTTCGCGAACCTCGTGAAGAGTGACAGCAGAGAGGACTACATCTGCCACGCCCAGTACAGAGAGGCCAGGACTATTCTACCTGCCACTGCTGTCTCCCTCTCTGTCAAGCCGAGCGAGCGCACACGTAAAACACTTCACAGCCAAACTCTACACAACTGCCTAATTATCATGGCAGTTTTCTCATGAACAATCATGAAACTGAACTTGTGGCTCAGTGTTAGACAATGGTGTTAGTTTTGGTCTCTGTACTGTTTATAAAGCTGAGGAGGCCAGTCAGATGCAGAGGTCACTAGGATGAAGGATGAAATGTCTGTCCCACTGAAAATGCTGCATCCAGATGAAGAGAATGAACTTTGACCCAGAGAACTGCTCACTTCTCTTTTTCTTCCATTCTTAGTAAACCCTAAAGATCAGCTGTTTCTAAAATACTCAGAGCAGCCCGGTTAAAGGTACTTAAATCACCTTTCTCCCCAATTCTTCACAGAACTTCAGAAGGTTGTAAATGCATTAAATGGCTATTTAGATATTTGCTGTAATGATCAGTTGAACTGGTAAATTGATTTCTTCAATCAATAATTGAAACACCTTCAGTCACACTCTGGTGATGTGTGTGCCAACCATACATCCAGGGACACACTGTCAATACAAAGTTTTATTTAATAACTTAACCTACCAGATACAACGAGGTTGTTTGCAAAATGTTGTGTGTGCAAACTTTACAAGATCATGTACACTGACCTCATTTTCATTTCACTTTGCCTAGGAGATGTTCTTCTTGGCAGGAAACCCGAACTTTTCCATCCTGCTGGCAATCTCTCCAGAGTTATGGCCCTGAGGGGTCACAGTGTCACACTTGAATGTTTGCCCAGTGGCTTGTAAGTATCTGTGTTCGTGTGCTTGTGTACATGCAGCACATGTGTCATCCATGTCAGCCTGACACGGTTTACTTACGTGGGGCTTTTTCTCCCTCGTTTTGACCGTGATATTTTACCCACTTCCTCCAGACCCCAGTTTTTGTATTTTGTTTGGCCTGCTCGCACCTGTCAGCAGTCTGCTGTTTTCACCTCAGGTGAATACACCTTCAGCTACACTCCTCCAGGTCGCACCAGGTGACCAGCTCATTGCCTTCATCAGGACATGCACCCACCTCTGCTGAGCACCCTGAATTATCATTGACACACAGCCGTGAATGAAAGTCAGGACCTGTAACCTGTGTTGAAAGCCCAGGAAATCAACCTGCTAGGGGGAAAAAATCAATATTTAAACAGCCAACATGCAGTCACTAATCTGTGGTGATAAAAATGGGACCACAGGTGGTCACCAGGTGGAGTCCAGCCCTTTTCCAGGAGGCTGGTTGTTGAATCTAAGCTGTAAGTTGAGTTGAGCCAACAATATTTAGTTAATATCTCCCAACCTCACCCACTAGCTCAGGTGATGATGATGAGCTACGCCATTATAGCCAGTTCTATCTGCAGAGTATGAGGCTGCCTGAGTCTCGCCCATACCACCCGATCTATGATGCATCAAACTTCTGCAGCTCCTCCTGCAGCCGCTAACCCACAGGAGGGCAGACTCATGGGGCCCTTTCAGTCTAGGCCAACCAAGGCCCCATGAGCTAATGACTGGAGCCCCCATCCTGGGCCTGGCTCCAGGGTAGGAACTAGGGCTGGATTTTGATTATCGATCTATCGATTAAAATTGATTCTGACTTGGATAACGTGATATTGATTCATTAAAATCCTGAATCGATTTTTTAATATAAATTTATTTTGCCTGAAACGCCAGAACTCAGGTTAAAGCTTCAGGTTAAAACAAAATTTCAACAACCACCAAACAGCTGAAGCAGTAACTGAGAGCAGGAACACGGACTCTGCACAAAGACGTAAACACAAAGCTCGGAGCCGACGCGTCAGAATCAGTGAGATGTCGCCTTTCTCACCCGACGGCACGGACACGGTCACGCCGTCGGGGCTGAAAGCCGACAGCTCGCTGATTTTGAAGTGTCGCTTTGTGTTTACGTCCTTTTTGCGCTGATTCTGAAGCTGCAAACAATATTGACCGAACCAGCAGCCAAAGACGATCCAAACTACGCTTCACATGAACACCGTCATGAATTTCCTCGGACTTTGGCTGTTTTGCTTCCATCACACTCATGTAGAGCTCTCTCTCTCTCTCTAAATCGATAATCAGAGCCCACCATCTACACTGTCGGCCGCTGTTGGATTTTTTTGTTTTTAACTTACTTCCAACAGAAAGCCTCATTTCTGCTGTTCGATACTGAACAAATTGAAACTTTTTAAAGTTTGCAAAACGCTGAGCTTTGTCTCTAATCAAACCTCTGTAACTTTGTTCTGCTTCACTTCGTTTCTGACAATATTTTTAAGGTCATCTGCTATAAAAACACAGACCAGGAAAATCGCCTTCATGTTTTTGTGTTTCATCCTCAGTTACTTTGACACAAAGGCGTCTGCTGTGCTGCTCACACCTTTGATTAAGTCTGGCAAGTGTCAGCTTTCTTTTTATAGATAGAAAAATATAGATATGTACTGATAAGTGATCAGAATTATAATATTCCTGACTGTCTGAGGCAAAATTTCCCCGATTCAAATCAAATCGAATCGAATCGATTCTAGAAATCAGTGACGATACCCAGCCCCAGTAGGAACCCGATAACCATCGTCTGTAACTGGGTGAACTGTCTTGGTTTTTGATTTTGCGGTTTCTGTAATATCTGATTTCTGGTTTTATTCAAAAATAATTAAAAAATTAATAAGATTAATAAAAATAAAAAGATTCTCCGTTATCTTTAGACTTTACGCCCACACACAGACAAACTTCCTACTAATCCTTGTTAATCTGTCCTGTTTCGTTGCTGCTCCCATATTCACACGTGGTCACCACATATGTGTGAATGGGTGATGCAAACCTGCTGGGCATTTGTGTTAACCACTACACCAACGAGCCAAGTGTATTACATCAATCTAAGGGCAGTCTCTGTTCATTCAGCTCTAATTTCCTCTTGTGTTTGTGTCTGTGTTCGTCCAAATCTTTACCTCTGTGTTCACTTCTGTCTCAGTCACACTTTTCTTTCTCTGTTCTTCTGATATTTTTCTGACTCTACAGGCCAACTCCTCAGGTGGAATGGAAGAAGAAGGATGGTGTCCTGGCAAACACAGCTGCTCATGTTATTAACTTTGACCGCTGGCTTTACTTCGACAGCATCACCCTGGATGATGTTGGCGAGTACGAATGCAAAGCCTCCAACACCCACGGCTCCACCGCACACTTTTTCACAGTCACTGTGGAAGGTAGGCCGCTGACCTGAGCGCACAGCAACAAACAAGTCTGGTTATGATGCTCTGCTGAACGTGAAGAAGTGATTTCCATGTTAAGGGGTGCAGGTTTTAACAAAACAGTTTCAAAACTGGGAAGAGGCCGAGATATTGTCATCTACGTAACAATAATCCATAACAATGGATCTACAATTCTCAAAATGCACTTTGAGAATTGTAGGATGCATTTCCTGCATGTGTTTCTTCTATTGTATTACTTTCCTAAAGTAATCAAACTAAATGTTTGCTTCTTTTTCCAGCGGCTCCTTACTGGGTGAAGGAGCCCCAGAACGGGATGTACACTCTGGGTAAAACTGTGAGACTGGACTGTCAGGCGGACGGCATCCCGAGGCCCAGCATCACCTGGAGGATCAACGGTCAGCTGTTCACAGGTACAACAAGTGACTTTTTTGGTATTTTGAAGTGTTGCCATAGAACAAAGTCCTTGATGAGCAAACTGATTGCTTAAAAGGTTTGTGTGAGAGAAATGTGGGGCTTCATTTCTCTAAATGAATTGTGATTTAGGTTCAATATTAAATAAATAAAACGAACGTTTCTAAACATTTTGGTGTCAATCCTTCTTTAATGTTTGCAGTTTATGACCTGGGTCCAAACATGTGACCAAACTACTCTGTTTCAGTTACTACAGATCCCCAGATCAGTGGAGCCCCTCTCGCTGCACTTTGAGTCTGATTGTATTGTCTTATAAAGAAAAACAGTTGCCAAAATACATGTCTGTCCTCTTTCGACCTGGTGGCTGTGTTGCTAAGTTTCAGGTCCTAAAATAATAATTCATAAGATCTCAGCGGAGGAAGTGAGGGAGGACCCCAGACCAGCTGCTGCTTATCTAACTAGACCACAGTTTATCTGTGAAATATTTTTGTGTGAGAAACTCACATTATTGACCTAGTCTTCATTTCCTCCCCGTAGAAGTGGATGAAGAGCCTCGGCGCAGTGTAGCAGGCGGGTTGATGATACTGAGAGACGTGAATATCGAAGACACAGCCGTGTATCAATGTGAAGCCACTAATGTGCACGGCTCCATCGTCATCAATGCCTTCCTTTATGTCATTGGTGTGTTTCATGTCGACTCGTTTCATCTTCAAGCTCTTTGTTCTGTCTAATCTGTGATTAGTAATGATGGTCTCCCTCTCTCAGGCCTCTCTTGTTTCCCTGACGGGGTCATCTATAAGGCTGTTGATGGCGATGACATCACGCTTCCCTGTGAATGTTCTGGCTTCCCGCCACTTCACATCATATGGTAATACTGGTATATGCTTGAAACCACTTTACTGTTACGAATTTTTAATGATTGAGTATGTTCAAATCAGCAAGCAGCAACGCTGCAGTTATGATGCTAATGCAATTTATCGTGCAGGAAAGGAGCGGTTCGATTCATTCGTCCATTTCCATCATTTTTAGACTTTAGACTTAGTGATACGTGGACTGACAGAGTGAGGGTTTAAATACTAACAAAACAGATGTTAGCAGGATCATCTCTCTGCTCGTTTGGGAAACTTCCCAGTTTCAAATCATCAGTTTTATAGATCTTTGAATAGACACCAGCAGTCTGCCATCACATCCTGGGCCGTTTGACCTCAGGGAGTCACATGATAGGGTGGAGCTAAGTCTCACAGTGGGTTCACCTGAAACATTGGCTGATTGTGACCTACACGCATTTTCACAACTTGGCTCGTGTGATTAGGTAGAGGATCAATATGGCGTCAAAGACCCTCTTAGGGACACTCTCATTGGGCTTTAAATCTGGGACTGTCCACCAGTTGCTCTTAGAGCTGAAATTTCTCAGATGAAACATCTTTAAGAAACTTAAAGAAGTCCAGACGCTTTTCTTTCTGAGTTCCTCCGATGAGCTGGATGGCTGAGAACCTTCACACACAGTTTTATAGATGCAGCGGTGCCCTCATGTGGTGCAACAATGTCTCTATTATTCTATTATGAACTGAGTCTGTGTTCTGTAGTTAGTGTTTGATGGTGGGATCATCCACTGTGCTGCCTCCAGGAAGCGTCAGGACCTGCTGTCAGACCCTCGTGTGTCTTTGGAGCCCAGCGGGACAATCAAACTGTCCAGTGTCAGCCACAATGACAGCGGACTGTACACCTGCTCTATAGAAAACGTTAACATCTCCATCACTGCTGAGCTGCAAGTCTTCAGTGAGTCACATACATGTTGTCTGTGCCAGATTGTAATGTTTTGCTGCTGAACACCCTGAGTGTTTTATATTTTATGTCCAGAAACACTGGAAAAGTTTCTGGACATTAAAAAACCAAATTTCCCTCGGGGTCAACCTTCAGGATCAATAAAGTTTTATTGAATTGAATTGAATTGAATTGAAAAAACATTAAAAACACAGAAAAGGTGTGTGTGTGTGTGTGTGTGTGTGTGTGTGTGTACATGTGTCTGTACACACAACATATCCTGTGTGACAACCTGGCGTAACCTAGATCCGCCAGAGCTCTCAAGTCAGGTGTGAGAAGGTTGTCACCACATACCTGAAGCTCGCAGGATTAACACCTGTTATGAGCTC